ACTAAAACACTCCTATATAAAGATAAGTGAAATTTTACATGTAACATAGATATTAGTTACCTCATAAATATTTTATTTTAATAATAATTTTAACGAAACTCCCTTATAATAATTTTCTTATTTATTCTATTCATAGATACTATAAAAATATTATTTTGGACAACAATATTAAGAAATGACTGCTGCTATAATATTGTAATTTACTAATATTATTTCTTAATCAAAGTAAAAGCTATAAAAATTACTTAAGTTATTAATTCCCTCAATTACATATAAGTACTGAACGTCTGAATCCTGAATAAAAATATATCAGCGAATTAAAAACATGTCAGAACAAAATTCATCTTTTCAATTGTTGACCCAAAATAAAATGATTCAACTTCGATGAAAGCTTAGACATTGGGTTCACAAAGCTGCTCGAAACCCACACCTCTTGACACTAAGAGGATATTTCAAAGGAAATTTGAAAGAAAAGTGTTTGTACGTTTCATATTTTTATTTTGAACTCAAGATCAAACAAAATGATTTATTATTTTGTTATAACATGTAGGGATTACTAAATAACTAAAAGAATCGCTTGTAGATTTAACGGGAATATTGTTTATAAGTAATTATTTTCTAAAAAGTCTGACGATTGACATTTTTATAGACCACCGCTTCCCTTTCATCAATAATTCTCTACCAATATTTTTATTTCCTTCACAAAGATTTCGCGTAGTTAGATAATTGTCTAATCTTACTAATATTATAAATGCGAATATTAGATGAATGGATGGATGTTTGGCTCAACAGATCTTGATGAAATTTGGCACAGATGTAGAGCATAGTCTGAAAGAATACATAGGCTACTTGTTGCCGACAGATACGGAACTTTTTACACTTTTTTATTCTTAATTGTTATATTTTTGAATCTAGAACTTTATATGTTTTTTCTTTTTCTTTATTTTTAAAACCATTAGTTGTAAATATATTCTTGTAACAGTGCGTGCTTTTCTCCTTATTTCTAATAATTCTATTTAATATTTTCATTTTATCTTTTTATTATATAACATAATATTCCAAAATTCATCTTAATCCTAACGCTCTTCCATCCTTACATATTCGGTCGTCTTTACTACTAATTAATATTTTTGTATTCCGCGCGGACGAAGTCACGGGCGACAGCTAGTATATTTATAGGTGCATGCATTTGTATTCGTTTCGATAAGATGGTGTTATAATTGGTTTACTTATCGCACGAGTTTGGCGTAGTATGGCGTTTAGCGTCGATCGATATCGGCTAATGAGTAGCTCGTGCCGGATTGTTTCAACACGTGCAAACAAGAATCGGCTTCGGCCCTGAGCCGGTTGTAAACTTGAACACCAACTAATGATATATTACTTGTAATATCACCCTCTTACTTAAAATGGTTACGGTAGAACTCTAGTTTGGAACAGGGTTTATATTCATTTTTTTGTACATACTGTAGTGTAATTTTCCAGGGTAATTAACACAGTACTATCGTAAAGATAGTTCTTCTTTTACTTGTTCTGTATTTTATTCATGGTGGCATTACAAGATGACGTAGTTAAAATTAGATAAATACATTTTTCGCACTATACTGACAAGTAGTTTCGTAAAACCTGCTTGGTACAATATCTTAGTTATGTAGTACCGATACATAACATAATAATATGTTTATGATGAATAAAATTAACGAGTAAATCAATTAAAGGTAAAATATAAATAGCAATATAGTAAATCCAATAAATTATCAAGCTATCAGTTTTCCGAGGAAACAGTTGGAGTGTTATTAAAACCGTTCAGTCTGATTGTTTTGTCAACAAAATTAATCCTTTTCGAATATATCCCTATTAATTCACATACGCGCCACGTCACATATTGATTGAATTGTTTCAAACTTGAGCACCAACGTTTAAAGGCTAAATTAAATTGAAATTCAATATAACACATTACATTTATATATTAATTTTATTGAAGCAGAAAATCTATAGACAAATCAATATTATCAACCGTGATTAACCTTTTTCTTTGATAATATTTGATAGCAAAGATAAATATGCACACTAGGTATCGCCCGCGACACCGTCATCATTAAAAAACTTAATTAGTAGCCTATATTTTCTTCCAAATTATGTTCTACATATATCCTAAATATCAGAGAGATCCATGTAGTTGTTCTGAAGATACGTTCTAACAAACATCTATTCATAGATCTATCCAAACATTCCCAGTTATAATATTACTAAGAAAGATAAAGTTTTACAATATACATTAAACGTAAGAATAATAAACGGCTTAGAGAATTTATTGCAACCACTAACCAAGATTTTTCAAGGAATTCCTTTCTTGGATCTGGTTATGAAATGCCGCGTACGGTTAAAATGACTGTCATAAAAAGTGACGTTTAAATAATGGTATGCAGACATCATGTACAACAGTACAAAACGTCGTTTTAAATAATTGCAACGCGCTACGCCGCTTGGAAATTCACGCTACATTCGTTTAAAATACCATATTTGACCTAAATTTAAAATTCCTAGTAAACGTACCTATATTTGGATAAAAATTCAATTTACAATTATCGAATAAGGCGAGTTTTATTCGGTTACTAACCGTGTGTTCCTGAGACCAAAATATGTTTAAAACATTTTTCCTTATTAGTTTTATAAATTTATAAGTTTTAACACGAACACTGAGGTGTTCATCGACGCCCATGGCTATCTGCAAAATCAGAGGAACCGCAGATGCGTTGCCGGCTTTAATTTTATTACTGTCATTATCTTTGACAAAACAAAGTCTTTTTAGTCAATTTTAATCTCGGAGACCCACGATACAATAATAATAAAAAAAAAGTAGGATCTGTTGGTTTGTATGCTATGTCATGTTATGTTATATGATTTGTTCACCATTAGAATGATACAGTATGAAGGATTGACATTTTTATTAAAAAAAAAAGAAAGGCATAGCAAATTCACTAGCTACGTCCGGCAGCAGCTAACTTTTTCATAAATAGTAATAAACTACACTTACACTTACACACACTACTAATCATCCGTCAAGTACAAAAGATACAATAATCGAAGTAAAATCTTAATAATTTAAATATATTCAAACCATAATAATAATATTTATTCCTTTCATATTAAATTCGCGCACAGTTTCACAGTACCGTATTAAAAGAGGTCTAACACTAAATTAAAATCGAATAATTATCAAATTAAATCAAGTTGACTATGGCCTCGGTGGGGACGTATAGTGAGCTGATGATGAAATTATCAAATATCTATCCAACAAAACAATAAAACAAACAATAGTGGTGTTATTAAAACAAACACACCCATTCAAATTACATCCAAATTGTATTGTTTGTCTTATTTGTTTATATTTATATTACTAATATTAAAATGCGATAGTTTAAATCGATAGATGGATGTTTGTTATTGCACACCTCCAAAACGGCCAAATGGATCTAGCTGAAATTTGGCAAAGGTTTAGAACATAGACTGAAAGAAGGCTAATAAGGTTATTTCTAATTCCTTGGAGACGTAGTCGCGTACAAAAACCAATGTGATAAAAATTACGGATCTCAATTATTGTTGTTATGCGTAGCGTTAACATAGCTTTAAACGTAGTAACAAAATACATTCGACGTTTGTAATGCCGTGGGTTTTCAATGCCGTTGCATATACAAAACTTACCTGTCATCTTTCTCATTCCATTTGCAAACAGAGAGATAAAAATTTATTTTTTACAGTATTTCATAATAATGTAACTACGTCTGGCTTGTTTTTTGTTGTTAAAGAATAAGAAATAATTAGAGAACGTAAAATCTCACCTTAAAGAAGGTTCTTAAAATAACTACTTTTGTCTGTTCCAAGAAAATATCTAAATTGTATGAAATCTTATACTGAAAAGATTTTTTTTCAAAGATTCTGTTTTTTCTCAGTCTAATTAGTCTGGGTTTCTTCTAGTTACAAAAGTGTCGAGATCCTTCTAATTATTAAGGGACGAGTTCAAATAATCAAAGTATGCTTTTTTGTAAATTTTCGTTTTGATTTATGTGTAAACTTTACTTATAGTATATCTTATATTTAATTTTCTCCTATCACAATTTTCGTTCTCATACTCCTCCGAAACGGCTTGACCGATTCTCATGAAATTTAGTGAGCATAATGAGTAGGTCTATGAATCGGCTACTATCTATTTTTTTTATTCCGCACAGACGGAGTCGCGGGCGACAGCTAGTAAAACATAATTTTTTTTATGGAAAGATTTTTAAAAATAATTTGAATAACTTCAAAGTATTTCGAGGTAAGTATGTGAATACATATTTAAGTACCACTTTGTACAGTGTTACTAAAACTCGTAACATTCGTGCTATATGATTTTAAATTTAATTTTAAACAAAACTCCGCTTTACAGAAATCGGGTCACCGCTTGTCACACTTAAAACGATACAGTGCTGGCTGAAAATGTACATGTTGTGTTCACGGTGAAAGAATAAATTGTACCTCGTACGTCCCACAATTATAAATACCTACCACAAACGTGAAGTTCGTTTTCCTTTCTCTCCCAAGGAAATTAATGTAATTAGTAATCCTGCTCCAACTAACTAGGTCGTGTTTCAAAGTTCTCACTAACAATCTATTGGTACAGGTAAATAAGAAAACTTTTGTTGGTTTCTATATATTGCAAGCATCCTTACAGAAGCAAAATATCACCACTCATTAGAAAGCTGAGCAACATTTAAGCTGCTACTTTTTTACTCTTTTATTTCATAAAAGCCCGCTACGCTTACCAAAGCAAAGATTTCTTCTTACTTTTGAATACGTTCACAAATGAAACACAAAGTTTTCCAAAGGCAAGTTTTAATCATGGTCCAACGTATACTGAATGAACGGACCCATTCAATGTAAAATTTCGCATCTCTATATTCACTTATGTTACAATATTTACAGACACATTTAACACGTATATAATTGAACACCGGGGGCGGTTAGCTGTTGGATAAGAAAGCGATAGCGGCGACGGTGAGGGCGAGGCGCGGCAGCAGTGGGTGCACAGAGCGCGGCGCGTGGCCCGCGCCCGCAGCAGCACGCGCGCGCGCGCTGCCGCCGCCCTCGCCCCGGCACGCCGCACCAGCCGCACTCGACAGACTCCTCCCGCGGACTTTTAAAGGCGATATACAAAAATTCTCGTCGGCAAACTCTTGCGACAGAGCCAAAGGATTGGCCATAGGATCCTGGCCGCACTCGCAAGGCAAATGGTTACCGCGTATTACAACAATATCTACTTCCAACACGACAGCTTCCGGCGACTCTAGCATATGGTTACCGGTCAGCTTAAACGTATGGACACTATTGTTCTGTATCAACGACAGCTCCTCTATTCCGTCGATTTTATTGTTGCACATTTCGAGAGTATCAACGATGCGGAGACCGTCGAAAGCACCGGCGCGTATAACTCCCAGGTCGGATTCCCTCAAAGCGAGGCGCCCGATGCGCGTCATGCCGAAGAAAGTATCTTGAACGAGCGCCGGTAGATCCATGTACGCCAGCTCCAGTACGCCAACACCTTCGAGGCCGGCGAAAGCTTGAGGCTCGATAGATCTTATGCCAGAGGGTAATTCTATTTGATTAACATCGTTCAATCCCGAGAAAGCATGGGCGAGGATCCGTTTGATAGGATTATTTCGAAGGGATATTAGTTTTATAAAATTGGTTCCGGCGAAAGCATACCCCTCGATTTGTGCTATTTTGTTGTGGCTTAGTACTATCGAGCTGATGTTCTGCAGCGCGGCGAAGGCAAACGCATCGACCGTCGTAAGCGGGGTATGCTGTATGAAGAGCTCGTTGAGTCGCGGCAGGCCACGGAAGGCGAAGGGCTTGATTCTGGTAAGGTTGCAGGCGTCGAGCGACAGGCGGCGCAGCTGGCGCAGATGCGCGAACGCGTCCGAGCGCAGCACGCGTAGGTCGGCGCGTGACAGAGACAGCTGCATCACGCTCGAGCTCAGCGCTGCGGGCACTCCGCGCAGCGTCGCACTGTTGCATACTACCTACAAAGCAAAAATGAGGACATGACTAATCTTTAAATATATGTATTTCTTCCAAATAAAGTAAATCAGTAAACGTGCTGAGCTATAACAAAGACCTTAAGATTCTTCTCATCTTTTGTTTTTTTATTAACTTTCCTTCAATTTTCATTGAAGTTGAAAAAAAAAGATACAGCATTAAATTTTAAGTCACCCGAGAACCTTAAAGAGAGGACCTTTGCCTAAGGATTAAGTTTCCCGACGAAATCGTCCGTGTGAAACAAATGGTACGAATTATTAGATGATTAGTTTCGTGTGATTATTGTGACCCAATTATTTCTAAGCCTAATCTCCACAAATGTACCTCTTTGAATGGTAACTACATGCTGCGCTGTTTTCACAAACATGATACAAACTAGGGTTTGTAGGTCTATTACCTAAGGTATTGCATTATCAATTTAAAGCAGTATTTTGGATATTTTCTAAAACATGTGTTAAACTTTTGCAGAGGTTTCGTTCCTATTTTCTTCCTTATCATGTATTTCTTTGGCAGAGAGCCAAGGAAGCGGACGCTGTAACAGCACCTCTAAATAACATTATTAATACGGATGTTACTTCTTACGAAAATGAAATTGGGTAATTAGAAATATTACATTTTAGTAAAAATAGCTCAATAAACAAAAACGTATATTTTATAAGATTATAACCTATTTTAATCTACCAGATGGTAGACATGGTTATCAGTTTCTATTTCTTTATTTATATTTTCCTCCAATAAAATTCAAATGAAAAAAGATTTTTACGAGATTCGTTCACGTGGTTGTTGGATGTACCGTTTTTAACAACAATCTTTGTCTATAAAAAGTCAAAATCTTTGATCATTGTAAACCTCTTAGCGATGAGATATACACCTTCAGAACTGAATGCCTCATCAACGACGGTGTCTTGTAAACGATGACTTTAAAATTTAAATGGTATGTTTACCTGAGATTGTGAGAGACAGATGCACTGCGCGGGGCAAGCTGGCACCAGCGCTGACGTCAGCAGCTGGGCGCGGGCTACTGCGGCTGCGTGCGTGCTCCATGCCGCAAACACCACCAACGACCGCACCAACAACCTGCTTACTCTTACACTTTAATTTATATAATAACCTAGTATCTCAGAGCCGTCTTAACCCGGCGGTACAAGAACGACGAGACGCCCTGGTGCCGGGGTAAGGGACGCCATGAAGGTTTAGGAGCCCTATCTCTATTCTTAAATTGACCAATAGTAAAGTCACATCTATCTTTCTAGCAGATAAGACTAGGGGTAATTATTTAGAAGAAAATATTTGAGAAACTAATGTTCATGACTAGAGGAACATAAGGTTGATCCCACAACGACGGACCGTTTAATTGGTACCTTACTTAAAAAAAGTACAATGCAAGACTACAATTTTTAAAATCTTTTTTTACATATCAAAGCCAAACTTCGTTCCATAGATAAGAATTAAGCCGAAAAGACGTATCATTTTGCCTTAAAATCTCATCAAATCTAAGTAGTTTATAAAGTTAGAAGATCTATATAATTTTCGAAGAGAAAAATTAAATAAGTTAGCACCTAGTTATTAAGAGGGAGGCCATGGGCGGGCGCAGGCGGTGCGCAGCGCCCGCCGTGCGCCCTCACCGACGCGTCTCCATCATGCCGCGATCACGCGATCCTGTCAACAATATTCACACGTTAAATAACTTAATAACAACATAAACTTGAACAAGGACAAGGTTCCTTATAGCAGTCTCGAACAACAAAATAAGTATTTATTATATAATGTTGGAATCGTTCAAAGAAAAAAAATTGAATTAATTTTTATTACATGACAAAAAATATGTTTTAAATATATTCAGAAGTAATAGCATTCTATTTGTTTTAGTAGCGTCTTAATTGTAAATCACTTATCGGAATGCATTTAAAAGATTTAAGCAGTGGTAGAGCCCGCTTTAACATCTTCGCACGAATTGGCCCGGCTCGCCCGGTGAAATACCACGACCACACAGGAGACAGGCGTGAAGTGGAAGCAATTCCGGGTTTCGACTGAACAGTGTGCGACCCGGAGGCCTAATTTAGTCCTCTTTCCCTTCCCATCCTTTTTCTTGTAAAGAAAGGATGGGAAGTAGAAGTGGATTTTCCGGATGAGAGAATGGAAAGGGGAAATACTTTCTTTCTGTGCATCCCCTTTCCCGTCGATTAAAGGTAGGCAACGCATAAGCAATTGTGTATGTCTATGGGCAACGGTCACTTCGCTATTTCAGCGATTTCAGGTTTCGCTCGTTTGCCACCATATAATATAAAAAAACGCATATTTAAGAACTGGCAAATATCCAATTTTATATGTCTGTTTAGTTTCTCTCCTCGGGATTTTTATTTGAAATCTTTATACCTTGTAGAAGTATTATATTTGAAGGTGTTAATCCGCTTGGCATGTGATGATAGCACGGATTTACCTCATAATTTATTGGCAGTTAATATTCGCTGTATTCGATACGCCCAAGAGAACTGCATCATATAATTTACTACCTAATGATACAATCTTAAACATTATTTATGTCACATGCTACTTATCCTCACTTAATTTATTAACTAACGGACTCAGACACGTTTAATAGTCATTACGGGTGACCCTTAGTGTAGATTTATTATAACTAATCACTATTTATGGATTGCTTAATTGCCTATTGTGTAGTAATAGCATTACAAATGACTTACAACAACACAAATAGTTATCTAATCTTATTAAGCTTATCACACATTGTATAACGCGCATTGAAGGTATCGAACCTCCTTGGTAGCACGGGAGTGTTTGTTAGCGACCAAGGAGGTCGTAGTGGCCGGAAATGCGACGCCGCGAATAATATAAAAAAGAATAGTGTGAAAAAGTACAAGAATAAATGTGGTTGTTAAATTAGTTTTGTTTTACAGTATATTTTTTTATATTATAGTTTGCGATATTGTATGTATATACTTACTATAGTGGAATTGTCTTGCAATGATAAATGTAGTTTTGATTAAATAGTATAGAAAAATAGAAAGTGTTATTGAATCACACAACTATACAACCCTCTGAGTCCTTCAGAGGCCGTTGTACACACATATTTATTTATTTTTCATATTTTCAATAAAGAACATTTCAAACATATACATACATATAAAAATTAATTATTATAAAGCATACTATATTAAAAATAGAGCACCACCGGCTGCACAATCCCATGATTCAAGCAATCAGCTGTCAGCGCTGCAGAGACAGGAACCTTCTCAAGATTCGCCTTTTGTACATCTTACTAATGTTATATTATTATAATTATAAATGCGAATGTTTAGATAGATGGATGGAAGAACGGATAGATGGATATTTGTTTGAAGATATCTCTAAAACGGCTGCACGGACCTGGCTGAAATTTGGCATATAGACGTAGAAAATAGTCTGGAAGAACACATTGGCTACTAATTAAGTTTTTTTTTATTTCTGCGCAGAGGGAGTCGCGTGCGACAGATAATTTTATCTATTAAATTGTAACTAGTTAAATATTTAAGCAAAAAAATAAGTCGTAAATATAATGTTAAAGTTATACTGGTACATGTTGAACTCGTTAACGAAACAAGTTGTATCCAGGTGGCGTGACGTGCTTCAAATGTAGCGGATGTTAACTGAACTCATGAGAATTATAAAAAAGAAACATTTTTTTTCAATACAAATATAGACCGTGCGAAGAAATAATGAGGATGCGATATTAGAAGGTGTGAAAATTAATTTTATATTGATAAAATAATATTCATTGTAAAATTTTATGTATGATAGGAAACCAAAAAAATTCATCTCCATAGAACTGGCAAAGTAAGAAAACGATATAAGATAAGATTAATTTACTACTGAATGAAACAAAACATTTTGCAGAGTATTAAATTATTTATCTGTCAATTCGTCGGTTATTACTTACAATTTAATAATTCAAATATAATAAAAAACTATGGGTTACTTTATGGTATGACATAACTGATAAGTTTTGAAATTATCACAATATTTACCAGTTATGTTTTACGAGAAATCTCGTAACAGCGATAAAAGGAAATAAGACAAAAACAAAGGGTAATAAAAACAGTTTTATATGTTTTGTTATAAGTAAGTGCGACGCGACAGCAGTGTTTGTGGTCTTCGTCGAGTCGCAGCCGGCGAGCAGTTTGCCTCGCTCAACTTTTTGTATCGTAAATTAACACTATAACTGAAATTATGTGCTAACAAGGGAACTGAGTATTAAAGTAACTAATTTTTATTGGTAAAAATATTGTGCAAACCGAGACTCGACACAAACTGATCTTTGTAGAGAAGATCAGATTACCGATGGATTGTAAGACCAATATCTCTGTATAAAATATATCGTTATCCTTGGTTATATCTTTGACAAAACAGTATTTTGTTCTCAGAAACCAACAGCTAGTAATACTGGCAAATTGATGTTTCTTATATGTTGAGATGTAGTTTGCAAATAATATTTCTATAATTATATTTTATGATCGTAGTTCAGACACTACGAATGTCATTTTGTTCTATTTTTTAAAATACAAAAAAATATTAATAATGCACTTTTTTTTAATCTTTTTTTGGTATTTTTGTCCATATCGGACATGTCAGTCCCATAGCGCCTTTCCTTATTATTTAGTAAACGAGCTGGCATAATCGTACCGCCACGATTGAAGCCGGGTCTGACAGAATCGAAAAAAATAGGCCAACATCATTAAAATTAACTTTCATTTCTGTGAACAGCAGCTCATGATCCCGCCTGTTATTCTCACACTCCAACAGCAAGTGATGGACATCTTCGGGCTTGCTACATGTCTCACAATTAGGTGACATATTGTTTTACATTAGATATCCAAAACTTGCTGTTGGGTAGTAACCAGAGCGAAGTCTCATTACCTATCACTCTCCAGTACTTGTTAAATTACACATACATAAATTATACGATACAAAAATATTATTAGTCTGGGAATAAAAAGTCTCTCCTTATTTGTGATCAACTTTTTTAATTACGCAGCTTAAAGGTACGCATACAAAGTAATGTTGTATTTATCGTTGTTCATCTCGTTGTTTATCTTCACGTTCATTACTAACATGTTCCCGTATTGATCATTACGGCTTAGCTGTTCAATTAATATCCCAACATTCAATTGATGATTGTGCTAAGTAGATTTTTTTTTCCGTCGTCGTCTTCTTATTGACATCATCTATTATTTCGACTTATATCTCTCTTATATCAACGTAAACCGCTATTCATAAAATATCAGACTAAGAATATAAATAGAAAATTATTTGATTCTAAAATTTCTTTCAAAAACAATGTATAATGTGCGGGCAAGGATGACCCAATTATAGTAGGGGAACTTTCGCGGCAATCGCGTGAAACAAGCAACGAACACGCGTCGAGTTTCTACAACAAATGTTTAGTCACCAATTAATCTTACCGAATTTGTACCGGCCAGTGTTGTGGACAAGTTTAATTGGTTTTCTGGCAACACACAATCTGTCATACGAGCGACGGCCCGTGTCGTCTCTACTAATGAGACCCCGACATGCCGCTTACATTAACTACATAAATTATACTATTTTTACGTTTATTCATACATTTTTATTCAAAGTGGAGACCTTATTGGTCGAAATACGACCATAATACATAAACAAAGATATTTAAAATTACAAATAACTTTATACATTTACCCTTAACATTTAAAACACATCAAATGTTCGCTTCTAGTATTAAAATGATGTTAGAACAATTGGGAAACAATTTTTTATGTCAAATTATTCAGGCGCATTTTTAATGCCAACGTAACCTTCACAGCTAGTCGTTATGAAATTACAAAACTAGAAAGCTATATAAGTTAAATATATAATATTAGTGAATTAATTCAACAAGACGAAATGATCCTTGTTAGGTTTCCTATTATATTTAGGAAGTAATGAAGCCCATTTAGAACGATTAGGAATTGGGAAACTTGGCGGAGTTCGGCCAGTGGTTTCGCCATTTGTAATTTATTAATTCGTAACGCTAATCTCTTGCTACGCTACTTCGCTGTTTGTGAAACATTTTCCCTAATAATTTATTTTATCTATACATGTTATGTACATATATGTTAGTTCCTTTTACATATAGAAATGATTTTAAATTAAATAAAAGTCATTTTAGACTTATCTGTTAGACATTTAGACTAGTTAATCTTTGAGCTTTTTATCGCATTTTAAATGAAGGTAAAATTTTACACGTAATTTATTTTTGTACTATCATAAGTTCTAATACCTCAAAATGCCTCAAGGTTTCATTCAAAGCTCTAAGAATTCTTTGATTTTCAAAGTGCACTGCCATTATACCCAATTTAATATCTTACAGTGATTTTTAATTTGTTGATCAATCAAATTTTGTTTAGTAAATTTTTAATTTTATTTGCAGTACATATTCTATAATATGTTATAAAACAAGATAAGCAGAAAGGTTTTCCCTGACACCAGTAATCCTATACACAGCAGGTGTTCAACGTGTCAACTAACAGCTTTTAATGTGTTTTGCAAATACACCCTTCCCTTTCATTCATTTATCTCCCCACACCCACATATTAGGATGATTTATGTTTAAATACTT